TGTGTGTGTGTGTGTGTGTGTGTGTGTGTGTGTGTGTGTGTGTGTGTGTGTTTTCATGTACAGTGTGGACCTGGTTCACTAGTTGAACCTCGACTCCTCTGGTTGGTCGCCATCAACCATGTGACTCCTCCCTCAAGTCACACCTTTTCTAAACTCACACACACACACACACACACACACTACAGGGTTTATCTAGCCTTAAAGTGTTGATGCTTGTTAGCCAGTTCCTTGTAAACTGTGGTGGCAGTCGATCAATGACTCTAAATCCTCCTCCCTGCCAATCCCTGTGCCAACACATTGCCTCTTCTCTTCCCTCCTTCCCTCACCCCTCTCCCTCGCCCTCTTCCTTACAGAATGTCATCTCATCTCCTCATCATCCCCTCCTCTTCCTTCTCTTACCTTTATGCCTCTGGGGGTCTGACCACAGCTGGATGAGCTGTGACTCACACTAATGTCCTGTTCTGTGTCATGTCAGTGGACCACCTAAACACAAGCCCCCTCCCCCCAAGAAGACCGTCACCATCACCAACGGGGTGAGTCCCAGTTGTTCACAGTTCATATCAGTAAAGTCTCACTGACCTCTGACCTCTGACCTCTTCACCTCTGTTGGTGCTCACCAGGGAAACGCCGCATACACCCCGGTGGCCGAGAGCAGAGCAGAACCCAACGAGTACTTCAACACTCAGAACGGAGAACCGGTCACGGTGAGAACTGTTTTATGTTGTACAGGCTCTGTGAAGGTTTGGGGTTGCATTTCAGAGATCGATGTTAAAGAAAATAAAAGATTTCACAGAGTATTGAGTCCAGATAAAAAAGGAGTGGAAAAAAAAAACTTTTTTTTTTTTTATCCTAACAAGAATTCTGCTCTGAATAAAACGTGAAGACGAGTTTCATCCACAACTGAAGGTTTCAGTTTTAAGTTTAGGTTTAGTTTTAGTTTAGTTTCAGTCTGAGTTTCAGTTGAAGACACAGACACGGTGACGTGGTGGAGTGAACTGGTTTAGGAGAAGGAGACGGTGTTTCTCCTCAGGTCCATTCTTTATTTACAGAGCGCTGTTCTTCGTCAGACTGACGAGGCTGTTGCTCCGTCTTTACTCAATAATTAAAACCTCTTCAAAGCTCCAGGTTCCATTAGCAGCTTCACTGTAGGCGTTAAATGCACACAGTCCTGACATGATGTTCTACAGGGAACCGTGTCCTCCAGGAAGAAATAATTCACTTTGGAATGAATATCCAGTTTTACTATAGATGACTCATTAAAGTGTAATAACACGTAAAATAATGTTTAATAAATATTTATGATGTATTAAATATATATATATACTGTATATGAAACTCTGGTTCGTGCTGCTGCTGCTGTCGTTCTGTCGTCGTTCTGTCGCCACTGTCCGACTCTTTTCTTCTTCCTCTGTCATTTCCTCAGTTATCCTGCTGTTATCTGGGACTAATGACTGGTTTTATATCAAACTGCTACATTGTCTCTCACTCTGTTGAACTGCTGACTGTTGTCTGTCGACTGTTGTTCTGTCGACTGTTGTTCTGTCGACTGTTGGATCTGAACAACAGGTGCAAAATACACAAATAAAAAAACTCGTAAATTAATTAAATACAAAAATCAGTTGAACAACAAATGATTTGAATGTAAGGTTCTCTGGAAGTAAAAATATGTTCCACGACTGGTACGTTGGCTCCCTCTAGTGGTATATGGGGGAACCGCTGTCTAATTCTTCTTAAACTGCTTCGGTAAAATATGGGAGTTTCGTGACTAAAACACACTGAAGACTCACTCAGTGCGTGTACGCGTGTCCGTGCATGTGTGTGTGTGGGTGCAGCTGTTATTCTAATAACATATAAAGGAACATTTGTAGTGATACAGTCTTGTACTTTTCCTTGGCTGTTAAACTGTTTGAGCTCCACCTCAGATTCTAAACTCTCTAACTGGTGCAGTGAAGCTGTGTCTGTTCTGTCAGTTGACCTCTAGCTCTCACCCCTGCCAGGACCTGGATGCCTACTACGACGACGAGGAGGTTGAAGACAGGGAGCATTATTTCTCTGCTGCCCCCTCTGGCTGGGATGATCCTGGAGACAGCGAGGTCCTTCCTCCCTACATGCACCGGGGCGGTGACGTCCAGGACGACCCCCGGGGGCCCAACATCGACCACGGCGACAGCTTCGTGTCTCCAGCGATGTTTGTGTGACGAGCTGAGGGAGACGCCGACCAGCGAAAATGTGTGTGTACAGTATGAGTACTCGCAGTATGCAGTGAGTACTCATCTGTGAGAGACGGTCTGTGAATGTAAATATTTGCTGCAGAGAGGGATTTTTATGAATCAACGAACATGTTTCAGCAGCTTCTGTTAGAACTCACCTGCTCCAGCTGTGTGTTGTCTGTTTGTCCACTTTGGAGGAAGTTACCAAGACCAATCCCAAGACACGAGACGACGAGATACAAAACGATGCTGTGAGCGCAGCTGTGCAACACAGTCGTAGGAAAGTTGTGAAATTGTGCTTCTCTTAAAGGAACTGTTTGATGTTTAGTTTTCTTTTTTTAATGAAACGTGAGATCAACAAAAACAGAGGAGGCTCAGTGAGGAGTCAGCTGATCTACGTCATGACAGGTGGAGGTGCCAGGTACATTATGGACTGTACAGTAAAAGACACAGCGTACATGTACGTATGTCTTTGTCTGCCTGACGACAGATGACTGTAACCTGCTCTGACGAATGATCTTGTTGTTAAGTTTAGCAGAGCAGCAAACCAGACAGGAGTCATTTTTGTGATTTCTTTTTTTTTTTTTTTTCAGTTGTATCATAGTTTCTGTTTCTTTGGGGATTTATGTTTTTCACCATTTCTTCTTCTGGGCTCTGATGTGTTTGACACCTTTGTTTTTTTGTTTTTATCGTATTTGCTGAAACTCATCTCAGGATCTCACAGTTTCCAGGACAGTAAACCGAGGACGACACCCACCCTGAGAGTTTACCCTCATGTCAGTCAACAGGTCACGTGTGTCTATCACTCACACAGTAGGAGACTAACAGAGAGGCGTGTGTATATACTGTATGTGTGTGTCTGTGTGTGCCAACCCTGCAGGTGTTGTATCCAGTGATCTTGTTTGAATTTTAATGATGACAATTTAATGGTTTTAATCATCGTTAGTTGTGTTTTCATAGTTATCACAGTTAACTCTTTGATTCAATAAACATTATCATTTTGATCATAATGGCGTCACTTTGAATTTGTCCTTTTTTAAACATAAAAAACGTTAGCATATTAATATTTTTAACCTCAGTTGTTACGCCGCGATATCACCACAGGGTGGCAGTGTAGAGTAAAATGTCAACTCTTTTTTTCCCTGTAAGGTTAATTCATTTTCTAAATGTAATAGAAATTTTATTTTGATGTTTTAATAATTGATTTTGACATTAGTTACTGACTGAAGGACAACATTAATACTTATATTTTTTAATTTATCACTTAAATGTTTGGGTTTTTTAAGCATTTAAAATGCATTTAAATTTCTAAGATTTACCGACTGAAATACCGTGTGTGTGTGTGTGAACAGGATTATATAATCTACGAATACATAAACTGGTCTTTTGCTGTGAATACTGAGATTAAAGTGTAGAAATGTGTCACTGAACACCGTCGATGCTTCTGACTGCATTGCAGTTTCCTCATATGTCCACGTGGGGTCTCCAGCCTTCACCAGACTGACTGTTGGGGCTGATTCAGAGGCAGCCAGTTGTTCTCAGCCTCCCCCCATATTTGCCTGAGTCATCTCTTTCTATCTTAGGCCACGGTTCCTCCAATCACAGCACACCTACGGTCTACGGGCACAAAAGGAGGATTTTTTTAGACCAGTGTGAATCATTTCCTGCATCGCCAGACTGCTGCAGCAAATGAGTAGAAAATGCAGTCTTGCAGATCCATAGAACATGGAAAATGACTCACATGTCTCTGGTTTCCACTGCTACGTACTGCAGTAGTCCTGCAGTAGTCACACCTGGACCGGAGTGGTCGGTGCTGCGGAGGAAGCTGAGGCCCGGTCACCGGTCACCGTCACTGTTCTGTTTATTCCAAGTGACACGGGACATGACTTTGTTGAAGTGGGACAATGTGGGACACGTCACCAGGCCACAAAGTAGTAAAATAAAATACAAGTACAAAAATTCTCAACATCTTCTATTAACTTTATTATTTTATTATAAGCTATTCCGCTCCTACGATTGACAACGAAAATGTCCGAATTGAGGCTTTATTATTATTATTATTATTATTACTGCACTGTATTTTAGGTCGTTTCGATCATTGACTGCGGGCGAATGAATACAGCGCTCGGTGAACCAGTGACATACTTTAACGAACGCTCGGCCCTACTTTACTCATACGCGTGTGACGTCACATATCGTACAGCTTTTGAAGATTGGAGTATCTGAAATTGTGGTTTATCGTTTCAACATCACAGACGACCTTAAAATGTCCAGATTTTATCCACTGTTTCAACGTAAAGGTGCGTGAAAACATACGGACATTTGCCCCAAGTCACCCGGAACTTCCGGCACTCTTCCGCTTCTCGGTAACTTATTCCTAATGTCGCAAATCAAGAACGGAAGCGCGAGAGAGCGCGAACCAGGCGATGAGTAAGTAGGAAAAAAAAATATATTTCAGTGTGGACGGGATTGTATTTGTTTTGTCCTGGAGCAGTGAGTTAATGAAGGCCGTTCACCGGTGTCAGGTGTCGTGGTGGAACTGGACCGGAAAGACAACCGTGAGTGTGTCCTGTTATGGTACAGATCTGATTTAAACTCTTTAGACTCCAGTCGTAGAAGTCTCTGGCTCAAACGAATCTTCTTCTTCTTCTTCGTTGTTGTTTTTAGAAGAAGAAGAACCAACTCATGGAGCAGCAGAACGACACCAGTCCAGAATCAGACGGTTTAACCTGACGAATTCAGGACCAACATGGAGGAAAGGCAAATGAAGAAGAAGGTAAATGTTCCAGTCATCACTGCAGCACTGCTGAGAATGTCGCCCCCACCTGGTCCATAAGAGTATTAGACTGCAGTACATGAGAGATGTTCTCCACGTCAGTTACCTCAACCAAAGAAATACCACTGTACTACACTGTACTACCACAACCACACAGTACTACACTGTACTACCACAACCACACAGTACTACACTGTACTACCACAACCACACAGTACTACACTGTACTACCACAACCACGCAGTACTACACAGTACTACCACAATAGTGGAGTAATGTTTCCTGTGTGGGCTGCAGAGACTGGGCTGCAGACACCATGTTGGACCTTCAGTCCAGGTCCAGGTCCAGGTCCAGGTCCAGTTCTGCTGTGATGGACATTAACGTTCAGCTTCTATTAAAGCAGTGAATCGATATAATGGAGGTGGTTGTTACTGTGTCCACTGACTGTGTGGTAACAGTGGTCTGACTGGTCTGACTGACTGTTCTGACTGACTGTTCCACAGCAGCATTATTATGGGATGGAGATCCAGCAGTGAGGTAATGAGTGAGAGAGAAGCCACAGAATAAACCTCTCAGGCTGCCAGGGCTGCTAAGCTGGTTAAAAATAGAGGCCGAAGAAAGGGATTGGGTGAGTGAGGGTGAGTGAGGGTGAGTGGAAAACCTGGGGGATGGAGCACCGGACTGATTTGACTCTGAGGAAAGTAGGTGAGGAGGGATTTAGCAGGTGACCTTGACTGGTGTGGTGATGGTGTGACTGTGGTCCAGTCATGTGTTTCACTCTGGTCAGCGTGGCCGCCTGTGTGCTGCTGGCCTGGTTGGTGAGTAACCACACACACCATCAACACAGTCACTGAGTTAGCCGTGACCAGACTCTAGGTGGCGCTGACACACTCCTGACTACCGTGGTGTGTCCAGTGACATCATCGCATCAGCGCTGGTTCAAATGAAACAGGATTTTAAAAATCAGATCCATGTCCAGTGTGAGACTCTGTACCAGGTGTCCGTACTCCTGGTTAACTTCATGTTCTTGTTTCATGGTCTTTCCCTCCTCCCTTCACGGATCTGTCCACGCCAGACGAGGAGGACACGCTGTGTGACGGGACACCAGGAGGAAGAAGGACACGCCCACGCTGGCGTCATGGTGAGTGTCACGTCGACGAAATCGACTTCCATCCTGTGAACCTGGGGGGGAGAGAGAGTGTTTATGAAGAAGAATATCTGGTTTTTCTAATCAGGTTTTTTACTGTAGTTACGGTAATGTCAGACATGAGGCTCAGCGGTCACTGAAGCAGGAGAGGTTGAAGGTCCAGTTACAGATGGTAACGGTTCTAACAGAACATCAAGTGAAGAGAGTGAACCTTGTTACTAATGGATTTGAACAGTCATTGTTGCTGCAATACTGATGAAGACACCAGGGGGCAGTAGTTTAAAAAAAACACAGCCAAAGGAAAGGAAATTACCCTTTGTACCATCCATCCATCCATCATCCATCCATCATCCATCCATCATCCATCCATCATCCATCCATCATCCATCTATCCCTCTATTAAGTCTTTTTACTTTATATTTGATCTTTTTTTTTGGACAAAAATTCACACCAACTTTTGATAATTTTTTTTGGACAAAAATTCACACCAACCCGTGAACGACTCCACATTCACACCAGAGGCAGACTTTTCACTCCCACTGAGGGTCTTCGTCCAAGCTCCCCCTCCCCCACTTTTTTCATCAGTCCTTCTTTTGTTCAATAGGAAATTACATTTCTGGGTAGTGTCTCACACTCACACACACACACACACACACACACCAACATGTGGTGCTGCTAAAATGGTTCAATCAGACTGAGCGATCAGTTCATCACTGTCTCTAAGTGTTTCCTTGGAAGTGTGTGTGTGTGTGTGTGTGTGTGTGTTTCCATTTATAACCTTGGAGTGCTCCTGCTCCTCCCTTCAAGCATCATGGCAGAGATGAGAGCACAGAGAATCAGCCAATCAGCTGCTCAGGCCACTCTAGTATCTGTTGTTACTAGTATTACTACTACTGCTACTTGTTATTCTATACTACTACTACTACTACTACTACTACTACTACTACTACTACTACTACTACTACTACTGGCAAAACTTCACAGGAGACTTCAGTCCTTCATGTCCTTTAGCACAAGTATAAGAGTACATGTACATGTATGTTTGTGTGTATATATTCATATATATGTATATAGGTGTGTGTGTTTCTATATGTGTTCTCCTACATGTACAGGCAGCAGTACTGAGAGATAGTTCTGCCACCAGATGTCGCTATAAATATTGGTGAATATAATAAGACTGTAGTACAGGAAGTCACCGTTTACTGCAGTGTCAGCATAATCCTCTGAGGTACAGGAGTGTGTTTAGTTTTTCTTTTGGTTTGGTTAGTTTCTGTGCTCTGTGTTCATAGTCCACACACACACACACACACACACACACACACACACACCCAGTTACTCTATCATCTGAAACAGAATGGGGCCAGGCACGAACCAAAGCATCTGGGTCTGCGGCGCCGCTCGCCTCGCTGCTGCAGGACAGAAAACCTTAGTGTGCGTTCTGAAGTGATGACATCACTGAGAAAATGGATTCCACGAAGGAAATAGACGAATAAGGAATGAGAGAATTCCAACGATTAAAATGTTTAAAACAACTCATGTCGCAGTATATCGTATCGTGATACGTGTCGTACGTCAGATTCCTGACGACACACACTCCTACTGTATTTTAAACACGCTGTAACTGAACCTTGGTTTCGTACCAACCTTTTTGTAGAACTTTAAAAATGTTCGATCTTTACCAGCGCCGTGACACGGGTTCAGACTTTGACTGGAGTTTGTGGCATTTTCTCTGCAGTGTTTGGTTTTTCACTGCTCTGTGGACCAGTGATGTCACGTTAATCTGAGAGAGAGAGAGAGAGAGAGAGACAGGTGGGGGAGGGGGGAGGACTGGGCTTCAGTTTAAATCCTCTGAACTCTCTGTTGTTATTTTCATATCCAGATTTTTGTTACATAATGACTCTGTGTTAATGACAACATCTGATCGTCTCTGCTGTGAATTCTCCTCCACTCTGCACTCACAGCTCCCTCCCCCCTCCCTCTTCCTCCCCCTCTCCCTCTTTCTCCCCCTCCCCCCTCCCTGCCTCCCTGCCTCCTCTCCTTTGTCTGTTCCTTCTGTGTTCCCGTCCTCCTCCACCCCCTCCATCCCTCCGTCCCCCTGCAAAGTCGTTCCCAAGGACGACATGCTCCCAGCATCCTCTGCCTGATTGGCTGATAGTTATTAAAGGGCCGGCGCTCCCTCCAGAGGAGCACATGGCTCAAGGCCCGCTCCCTGATGACACTGTCATCCTGCTCATCACTCCTGAGGCCCATCACTGCTCCTTCACACGCACAGCAGGTCACATGTTCCTGCGGCAGAACAGAACCAGCTAATGTCACAGAGAGAGAGAGTGTGTGTGTGTGTGTGTGGGAGGTGTGGGGGGGGCACAGGCATGGTAAAAGGACACTTGACCCCTGCTGAGACGAGCTGCTCTGTACGACCAGAGAGTGACGTGTGAGCAGCTCGGCTGACTGGTCGTCACAGAGGAAGACGGCACACACTGTCAGCAAAATGGCCGACGGCCTGCAGCCAAGAGAAGACTCGGGGGGGGGGGGGGGGGAGGTTTACCTGCTGATCTGCTGAATCTGTTGTCACTCTGCACCGAACGTTAGAGAGAAATGGTCCTGTGTCCACACTGGACCGTACGACAGCTAGAAGGATGGATGGATGGATGGTTGGATGGATGGATGGATGGATGGATGGATGGATGGATGGATGGATGGATGGTCTGTTGAGGCTAACTGCCTCTGTGTTTGTTATGACAGAGGTTCTTGGTAGAGTTATTGGCCAGTAGGGGGCAGTAATCCAACTCTTCTCCAGTGTTTTTGCATCATGGCTGGTGGTTTCTATATCAGTACTTACAGTAAAACTAGGAGTACATTTAGGAAGTAAAGCCTTTCAGTTAGAGTAGAAGTTCACGTCTATGGATCTGTCTTCATCTGAACAACAGCAGATCTTTAAATGGACTCTGATGGAAGAACAAAGACCTGGTAATGGAGACGCTGCTGTGTTTCTGATGGGTCTACAGACTGATGGGTCTACAGACTGATGGGTCTACAGACTGATGGGTCCACAGACTGATGGGTCCACAGACTGATTTCCCCCCCTCTCCCCCGTGACACCTCCCCTCACAGTCCATCCAGTCTTGTCCTCCTGGAGACACCAGTCCACAGTAGTGGGACGTCACACTGTCCCCACAGAAATAGTATTTCTCCTCAAAACTGCAGGAGTCCCTACAGATTAGGCCACACCAGGAAACACACACACACACACACACACACAACTCAGCCTCCCCCAGCCGCTCCCCCTCGCACCCCCCCCCCCCCCCCCCCCC